GGGTAGGGATCTAGTGTAATGGTAGAAGCTGCCCAGCATGTGCAAGGCCCTGGATTCTAGCCCCAGGACTGAAAAAAAAAAAAACCCAAAACGATAAAGCTACAATAACAAAGACAACATGGTATTGCAAAAGGAGAAACCTGACCCTTAGAAGGGTAAAGAAGATATTCAAACCTCATATAAATTTATACTGAAAAGGCCAACATTTATTAAATATAAATTATAATTTGATAAAAGAACAAAATGAACCTAAACTTTGAGTATATTTGTGCTCTATTTTGTTCCATCAGTCTCTTGGTTTTTATGTGGGTACCACATTGTCTTGAATATGTAACTTGTGAGTCATGAAGAATAAATTTTAAAATTTTGTTCTTTCTCAAGCTTGCTTTGGCTATTCTAGAACCCTYACGTTGCAATATAAACTTCAGAATCAAGTTATCAATTTCTTTTAAAAATACAGTGGAGGTACCATTTGACCCAGCTATCCCACTCCTTGGTTTATACCCAAAGGATTTAAAATCAGCATACTATAGTGACGCAGCCACATCAATGTTTATAGCAGCTCAATTCACAATAGCTAGACTATGGAACCAACCTAGGTGTCCCTCAATAGATGAATGGATAAAGAAAATGAGGTATATATACTCAAATGGAATATTACTCAGAGTGAAATTATGGCATTTGCCATTAAATGGTTGGAGTTGGAGAATGTCATGCTGAGCAAAATAAGCCAATCCCACAAAATCAAAGGCCGAATGTTTTCTCTAATATGCAGATGCTAATTCACATAAGGCGGGAGGCACTAGGGAAGGATAGCATTACCTTAGATTAGGTAGAGGGAAGTGATGGGAGGGAAGGGGAGGGGATGTGGGGATAGGAAAGATAGTAGAATGAAACAGACATTATTACTGTATGTGTATATGTGACTGCATGACCAATATGATTCTGCAACATGTACGCTCAGAAAAATGAGAAATTATATCCCATCTATATATGATATATCAAAGTCATAAATGCATTCTACTGTCATGGATAACTGATTAAAATAAATTTAAAAATTTTTAAAAAAGGAAAAAAATGCAGTGGAGGGCTGGGATTATGGTTCAGTGGCAGAKCGTTTGCCTTGCAAGTATGAGGCACTGGGTTTGATCCCCAGCACCACATAAAATAAATAAATAAAGGTATTGTGTCTATCTATAACTACAAAAACATATTTTTAAAATACAGTGGAATTATGATTGGGAAGCTTCAGATAATTTGGAGGAGAATTGGGATCAAATATTGAGGTAGTAATCCATGAACTTTGTAACTTGTTATATCCATGTATTTAATTTTTCGTCTTTTGGTGCTGGGAGTTGAACCCAGGGGCACTTAACTACTGAACCACATCCTTTTTCTTTTGTATTTTATTTAGAGACAGGATCTCACAGAGTTGTTTAATGTCTGAGCAACTTAGCCTCTCTAAGTTGCTGAGGCTGGCTTTGAACTCTTGATCCTTCTGTCTCAGCCTCTGGAGCAGCTGGGATTACAGGTGAATGACACTGAGCTTGGCTACATATTTAATTTATTTATAGATTCTTTCATTTTTCTTGGTAGCACTTTTGTAGCTTTTAGTTAAAAGTTTTAGGTTTTTTTGTCAAATTTATTCTCACACATTTTATTTTTGGGTCTTATTATAAATAAAATTTTAAAATATTTTCTAATTATTTGCAACTATATAATTTAAATACTATTTTTATATTTTAACCTTGGATTCTGTGGACTTTCTAAATTCATTGTCAGGTATAGTTTCTTTGCTAAGAATTTCTTTTTTTTTTCTTAATATTTATTTTTTAGTTGTATTCGGACACAATATTTTTATTTTGTTTATTTGTTTTTATGTGGTACTGAGGATAGGATCGGACCCAGGGCCTCTCATGTACTAGGTGAGCACTCTACCACAGAGCCACAACCCCAGCCCCCCTCTTTGCTGAGATTTTCAACGTAAGCAATTCTGTTATCTGCAAGTAGAGTTTTACTCCTTTATTACTGCTCTTTAGGCCTTTTCTTTTGCTTTTCTTACATAACTGGCTAGAACCTCTAATACAATGTTAAATATCAGTGATAGAGTAGACATATTARTCTTGTTGTCAATTTTTTAGGGCCAGGGATTTTCATACATCTTTCACAGGGATTTAAAATTAGTATAACCATTCAGAAGTTAATTTATGTTATCTTGTAAATTTGAACACTCAYAGCAATTGCACTCCTAGATATACACACAAGAATGTTCATAATAGAAATGAAGAGGGCCAGGGTTGTAGCTCAGGGGAAGAACACTTGTCTAGCATGTGTGAGGCACTAGGTTGGATTCTCAGCACCACATATAAATAAATAAATAAATAAATGTCCATCAACAATTAAAAACTATTTTTAAAAAACAGAAGTAAAGAAACAAGCAACTCAAATTTCTGTTAAGAGGAAAAGGAAAGTGAACAAATAAATTCACATAGTGGAATATCACATGAATATCCATCAATTTTGATGGATTGTGGTGACCCTCAACAACATGCATGAATTTTAAATAATATTGAATGAAACATTCAAGGCCACATAAAGTTAAGACATTCAATAAAAATGATTTTCATAAAACTTAAAACCAAGCTGATCTAAGCAATATATTCCATAGGGATATACATAGATGTGATAAAAATATTAAAAATTAAAAATAAAGGAAATATAAGTACAGAAGTCAGGACAGTCATCACCTTTTGGTAAACAGGAGGCAGAGAGAGAAAGTTTGGAGTATGGAAGTAGATGCAAGTTTTTGGTAACAGCTCTTGGGTGGAGAGGCAGATTCAAAGGAGTTAATTGTGCTATTTGTGCTTTAAAACTTACATATACTCTTTTGTTTAAGTACAACATATTTTAAGAGAATAATTAAAACACCAAACTAATCCTTAGCATGTTATACACAGTATTCTTGTTGTATTCTATTACAATATCCTGGAGATTGTTCCAAATCAGAACAGATAGATCTATCTCATTCTTTCTAATTGGCAATTCATGGTCTAAATATATCATAATGAATTTAATAGGTTCTCATAACAATGGATATTTGGTCTGTTTCTAGTCAACAAATAATAGTATTATTAATAGAATTATTCATACATCTTGATACAGTATATCTACAAGATCAAATTTCTAGAAGTGGAATTATTAGGGCAAAAAATGTGAGAGTTAAAATTCTGAATAGATGAAAAGCTTGTTTGTTCAATTTCAGACAATGACAGTTTAAGGCAATAGTAAGAAACCTAAACCTAAACAGTCCCGCAGATACTGTTGGCCAGAAGTACCCGAGTTCACCTATGAGTGTTGCTTGGCTACTCTGGCTCATGCAGAGTATTTGGGATAGAGTAGGTGTGGAAGTGGAGTGAGGGTGACTATGTATTTACTATTTGAGAAAGCAAAGTGATGCAATGCCTCTAGCCCTGATGGGTGGCTGTTTCACAGTAGATTCATAGACTCAGTAGGACTCTTGCCTACTCCCTGAGGCTGAGTCAGGAGAGGTCTGGAAGGGAGACAGGGAAAGAATARCTACTCCAGCTTTGGGCACTACTATTGTTGGGGTGGCCCCTGAGGCATGGGAGCCAACTTCCCACACACACCACTGGCCCCAATAGGGCATAAACAGAAACAATCTTGAAATACCTTTTCCTGAGAAGGGCAAAGGACAGCAGGATGGGGCAGCCCTCAGAAACAGAAGTCTTTGATTACCAATCATGAGTTCAAGGGGGTTCTCCATTGCTAGGCAAGTAAAGTTGTGTGCTGTTGTGTCCTATCCTAGACAAATTGTGAYGAACACACTCAGCCCTGTCCCTCAACACAACCCGCAGCCTTTACCCCACAAACTTTTTATAACAAAGCCAGTATTAATTATTCTTCAGAGTTCTCTTCCAGGGACCACAACTAGAGTGAGGGAATGAGGCACCAACCTTTGGTGCAAAATTTGAGAGCAAGCCAAAAAATTCAGTTTCAAGACAAGTAATATTTTAATGTAGCATTTGAAGAATTCAAAAGTAATACAAAGAAAAATTCACAATGAACAAAATAGGCAAACTTCAAAATAAAAACGTGAYCCAGCCTTGCCCTTTCACAACCCTGTTTCATTATAGACTGCCCTTGGTTCCACAAAAAGTGTCTAGCTCACCCTTATTTCAGTCATTTTAAGTGTACAATTCAGTGCCATTAAGTACATTCAGACTGTGCAACAATATAATTCTTTTAAATATTACATTAAAGTATTAACTGGGCGTGGTGGCGCACACCTGTAATCCCAGCTGCCAGGGAGGCTGAGGCAGGAAATCGCAAGTTCAAAGCCAGCTTCAGCAACTTAGCCAAGCTCTAAGCAACTCAGCGAAACTCTGACTCTAATAAAATATTTTAAAAGGGCTGGGTATGTGGCTCAGCGGTTAAGGGCCCCTGGGTTCAATTCCCAGTACCAAAAAAAATAATAAAAATAAAATATTTATATATTGTGATTACTGAGTTTCGGGGTGACGCCTTMGATTTTACACCTAAGGCAAGTGTCCCACTCGCCTTACCCTAGACGCCCGCCCTGCTTCTCCCTCTTTGGCAACTCAAAGAGCCAGAGGATCCAATAGTGTCAATTTCTCCCTTGCAGCTGCAGCACAAGAGTTACTTATTCCAGTGGAGATTAAGCCACAGAGGATGTCCGTCCGTCCGCCCGGACAGCCACCCGCTCTGCTCGCTTCGCCCGCCCTTCTCCGGTGACCGGACACACCTGGCCGGCACGCCCTCTACCTGCTCAGGGCCACCTGGCGGGCAGCACTCAGCGCTCGGCCCGCCCCACTCGGGTCGCGCCGGGTCTTCCTGAGGGCCAATGGGGAGGGGGCCCGTCCGAGCTCCAGCCTCGTCCCGCGAAGCAGCCAATGGGAGCGCGGCATGCAAATGAGCAGGTGCGGTGGCGGCGGGCCCGTTGCGGCCGCTGGGCTCCCGGGATGTTAGAGGCGCGCTGGGCGGCCGCCGAGCAGACGCCCGGACTTCAAGCGGCGAGCTCCGGTCTCCAGCCATGGTCCCCGCTCCGCCCCCCGCCGCCTCCTTCTCACTCGCCGAGGTCCAGCGGCGCCTGGCGGCCGGTGCCTGCTGGGTCCGCCGCGGGACCCGCCTCTACGACCTCACCGGCTTCGTGCGGCACCATCCTGGGGGCGAGCAGCTGCTGCGATCGCGGGCGGGTCAGGACATCAGCGCCGACTTGGACGGACCACCTCACAGACACTCGGACAACGCACGCCGCTGGCTGGAGCAGTTCTACGTGGGCGAGCTGCGAGGGGACCTGCAGGTACTGCCAGACTGGAGTCACACCCTTCTCTCCTTTCTCCCACCCCTCCCCCAGCTCTCCATTTGAGGGCGAGTCCGGAGCACCTGCCCTCTAGGAGGACGCAAGGTGACAGCCCCCGCCYTCCCCTCCCTCTGCTTTCCCTCTCTTCTCTCCAGGTAACAGGTCACTGCCCTCCTTCCTTTCACCAGGAGCTTGCTGTTCCTTCCCAGCCTTACCTACTTAACCCACCTCCATCCTCAAATTCGTCCACCTCCCGAGTTACMTGATCCTTCCAACTTGTTCCTTCTGCAGATCCAACTCTGACAACTTGGATCCCTGTTTCTTTCTCCAGCCCCAACAACTCCAGTCTTTCCTTCCTTTTCCCTTATCAGCCTCTCTGTCTTTGCAGCTCCTCTAGTTTTTGTTTGAATTATAGATTTCAAGGCTCATCTGTTTATCCCTCCCATACCACCCCATTCCTGCTTCAAAGAGACACAGCATCCCAAGCTCTGCAAACTAACTTGCATTTCCTGGGGTGGAGGAAGGCTAGTCTTGCGCCAGAGCTCCCCTGGGTGGGTGGAGAGGTCCCCACAGTGTTTTGTGTGGACSGTGTCTTCCAACTCCTCAGAAGTCCCTTTATTTCTTATCCTGCATGATGGTGTGGGTGTGGAAGAGTGAAATGAAAGGCATCTGCCAGTTTTGCTGAGGAAAACGGATTAGCACTTTGGACCCAGGCTGTGTTCTAAGCTGCACACTGCTGTATAATGAATGTGGGCTCATTGTGATATTTAAACCTTCAGTAGATCCGGGTAGGTTTGGTTAACCCCATTTTAGGATGTGGAAGCAGGCTCAGAGAGACTACTACATGTGTAAGGTCAAACATTTAGTTAGTGGAAAAGCCAAGTGCATCTGATTGCAAAATCAACCTTGTCTCCATCCTAAGGATTGGCAGGCAAGGCACACAATCCCTATCCACAGGGCTCCAGGTGGACTCAAGTCAGAAGTGAGCYGATTCCTTGTTCTCCAAGCCTGGGCATAGGACTGGTGACACTGGGGCTATCATGCTTGTATATAAACCAACAGTTGTTCCCCACTGCTGGCTCTTGCTTTCATATCTTTGCCACTCACTATTCTGGGTAGCTCCTTTTGGGCCATCTTGCCTAATTCTTCAGCATTTATTCAGTAACTTACTTGGTTTCTTAATGGGTTAACAGCACTGGGCTAGGTACAGGTGGGTACCAATTAACAAAAAGAATATGGTTCCTSTCTTCATAGGATAAATCAGCTGGTGTGGGGGGGCATACTAATCACATGACAATTATTTAATTACATTGTGTAATCAAGTATAGATCTTGAGGGGAGGGATTCAGAGAAAGCTGTCTTGAGAAAGCAACATTTACATGGAGAGCTAACTGATGGGTGAGGCTTAGCCAGGCAGGTGCTGGGAAGAACATTCCAGACAGAGGGAACAGCATGTGCAAAGGCTCTGAAGAAAAAGGGACAGAAATAAAACCTGTGTGACCAGAGACTGGTGGGCAAGGAGAAGGTTGTGGAAGGAGGCCAGGGATCAGCAGAGACCAGATCACACAGAGCCCATAGGTTGTGCTCAGAATTGGGGGTTTGACGATAGAAGAATTGGAAGTCAGGGAAGGGATTCAAGCAGGGGCGTGGCATGGTCAGATTTGCATCTTTGGATGAGTAACCTCACTGCAGTGCCAAGAAGGAATGGAGGGAGCCCAAGTGTCTGTGAGGAGACCAGACAGAAAGCTACTGTATGACTTGTACTGCAAGGGCTGTGATGGGGGAGATGGGTACAAATTTGGGAGACTTCCAAAGATAAAATGCCTGGATTTGGCATTCTGAAGTGGGAGCCCAATTTAATCTTGGAAGTTGATGCTTGGTGTCAGGTCCTGATGAAGGGGCCGAAGGTTTAGCCATAGATAAAACTGAGATCAGAATAGAATACTAGAGACTGCCAGGCTTGTGATGGCTCATGGGTCCTGACCTGCATTGTAATGTGTCTTACAGACAGGAGCCTTGAGGTGTAGCCTTTCCTCTTAGTCCCTTTCCCAATGTCACTCTTGGCCAGCTGCTCTGAATGACCCCACCTGCCAACTRTGCCAACCACCCAGCACTAGGGTTTGGTTTTGTTTTGCCTTGCCTGACTCTTGGGGAGGACTCAGAGGGAATACTGAGTCCACATTTGCTTCCTACCCCTGTACTCACCCTGTGGCCATGTTGCAGGCGTCCTTATTTCTGGGCCCCAACCTGARAACGTGGAGAAAACTAAAAAGGTAACAGTGCACCAAAAACTCGTGGCCCAAACTTGACCCATGGCCACAGTCCTCCCATTCTCCAGTGCCTGTCAGTTTCTGTTGAAAAGAGTTCTAATCTAGAACTAGTACAAAGAATAAGGTTCTCCTTAAATTTGGGRAGAGAGGTGGTCAGAGGAGAAATCTGGGATGGGGTATCCTTTTGGAGAAAAATCTAGATGGAGAGGAGACTTCGTGTTCTTCTCTCTAGCTAAGTTCTCCTAGCAACCCCAAGGCTGCCTTCACCATGTCCCTCATCTCCTTCTGGACCAGGGGTGCTAATACCTGTTGAGGTGAGAGTCCCACCTGCTCCTCTAGTGTGAGGAGCAAGAGGTAAGTGCCATGGACTAGCTCTGTGGTTTGGGGCTCATTTCTGAATGGTGCCCCTGTAGGGGTCCTTCTTCCCTAGCTTAGTCCTAGGATGGGAACATACTGGCTCTTCTAAGGAGAAGGCCCCTGCCTTGCTCATTTCCCCTGTTCCCCACTTTGCCCCACCCCCTCTATGTACGCACTTACACACACATTCACACTCACATGAAGCCACATACATAAAACAAGTCAAACTTGTTTGAGCTAACATGCTGTGAGGAGAATGAGACAAGTTCTGCTGTGGCCATGGCCTTGAACTTGGGGAAGCTGAGCTGCCCACTTTGAGYGAGTAAAAGGCCATGGCTGAGCTGGGAAGTCTGGCCCTCTTGTCATCCTCCCTGTCCTCTCAGGGGCCAACAGGATCAAGCTCCCACCCCAAGCAGTAAGAACAGTGTTCTTCCAATGTGGACATGAAGTCTATTTCTTGAGCTGCAACCAGCACTGCTTGAAAAAGAAATAGAAAAACAAGATAGATACCATGTTTTCTAAACTTTGATCATCCATGAATGGCTGTCACAGTTCTGTCCTAATTGGCATTTCACTTGAACTAATATATTTAATATTTATATTAACTCACTTTTAATTTTACCATTTACTCACCATAGGTGATAAGACCAGTGAAGTCATAGACTTTATATAACTCTTAAAATAAATATAAAACTACTAAAAGAGAAATGCTTATCCTTGTGTTCCCTAAATTATCTTGGGCTCCACCAGTGGAGTATATGTCACATTTTGGAAAACATGCAGAGCAGKACATCTTAATCCTTATGTTCTGTGGATTGTTTCTGGAATTGATGAGAGATATGAAATTATATGTGAGGAACCTGTGAATGTGCATTTTTRTAGTCAACTTTCATTACAATCTCACCAGAGTCCTTTTCCAAGCCCAAACCTGCCACCACAAAGATAACTGTCAGAGAATGGCTCATACTTTCTATTTTTAAAATAAATATAAAACTATTAAAATAGACCTCGAGAGGTCTTATCCAGAGGCCATCTGGATAAAAGTCCTCTCTTTGAGAATACAGTGGAGAAAGATTTCCCAGATACAACACTCCAGCCACAGGTATTGGGGTAACCTCATGTCTGAAGGTCTCTGGTCACCATGACCTAATCCCACAGCGTCTCTGTCTCSGAGTATCTGGGAACTCTGCAGATTCTACCATGTGTGGTTCTGCCAGGTTTTGGGATACCATTCAGAGCTTCAGGGCTTGAGTAATTAAATGGGGATGGACAATAGGGAGGAGATCTAAGTGCAGGAAAACCTGAGGTTCCCACCCTACCCCAGGTCCCAGAGCATCTCCAGCACAGCCCAACTTGGAAAGCTGGTCTGAGCTGAGAACTCAGATTAAAGYGGATGCTTGGGGGAACTTGCTAAACTGCCCCCACCTGTAGTGTGGATGGTGATGAGATGTTGCCTAGTCCAAAGGGACTGAGATCCACTTGGCCTGCCAGAGGGCCTTCAGGTGGGCTCTGCCTGGTCAGTCAGCAGTCACTGCCCTTCACTACCTGCCTGGGACCTCTGGGCTGTGGCCAGCTGCAGTGTCAGCCAAGTCTTACGTGGAAGATAAAGCCAGGCTCCACTGACAAAGCATCAGGGGCCAAGTCACTGGCATTCCATGCCCACCCTGGAGTAAGCAGGATCCCGGGAGAGCTGCCTACTATCACCCCCAGAATCCAGCAAATAGCTTCAAGACCTAGAGTTGAGAGAGAAGGTCAGAAACTAGGTTTCTCTGGGAAAAAAAAAAAAAACCGAAAAAAAAAAATGAGCAGAAATCCCAGAAACACAAGAGTAACCATCTTTGGAAAGACTCCCAAGAAGTAACCCAAACAGATGCCTGAGTAGCACCCATCATCCTCCCTTTCCTTCTTTTTTCTTGTGACACACACTCGTCATTGGTCTGTATGTACTCTTCATTTATGTAGACAGGTAAGAAGATCCCCAATCTCTCTAAGCCCACCCTCACTTCCCCAAACCTGGTAGTCAGTTCTCACCTCACCTTATCTGGCCTGGCAGTGATTCCTGACAAGCTGACCATTGCCCCTGCTTGCTACTCCTTCCTTGCTTGGCTTCTGGATGCCTTACTCTTTTGGTTTTCTGCATGAATCCATTTTCTTTTGGTCCTATAATTACATACCACAAACCTAGTGACTTAAAGCAACACAGATTTATTCTCTTATAGTTCTGGAGGAGAGAAGTCAGAAATGAGCAGCAGAGCCATGTTCCTTCTAGAAGCTCTATTCTAGCCTCATCCACCGTCTCAACTGCCAGTACTTCTTGACTCATGCCCCCCTGGGGCGCCTCTTCCATCATCACATCTCCTACTCTGACTCTTC